AAATCAAGTATGAAATATCATCTCATGGATCTTTCCAATATCCTGGAGGGAGTTCAAATGCAAACTTTTCAAACTGAGCTTGACTTCTTGCCTGCTTCCACACCCATTCTGAACAGGCTCCTCCACTTTGGTTTCTGACCTTCGTTCCAAGCTAGGAATCTGGAGCCTGCACAAGCCTTCTCCCCTTCCTTACTCACCTCCTTTGATCTGCCATCATACTTCCTTAAACCCTTAGATTTCTTCCTCTCTCCTCCTCACTGCCAACCTTGACTCAGTCTGTCCTAACTTGTTACTTGTAATCAGTTTCAGTGTGTAGGTCTTTAACTCCTTCAACCACAGACTCGGGCCAACCTCCAAGCTCCTTCTCATGACTTAAAGACCTTTCATGATGTCATCCCTGTCTAGCTCTCTGGTCTGCTTCCTTTTATTACTGCACATATACTTGAGTGCCACCTAGTAAATGACAGTGTGATCGTTTCTCAGACTAGAGGCTCTTTCTTCCCTTTGCCATTACACATGTTGTTTCTTTTTCCTCAATATCACTTTTACCCTTTAGCCTGTCAACTTCACCCCTATTCCTCCTGCAATGCCCAGCTCAGAAGCCACTCAGAAGTGCCCCCTGGCTGGGAAGGGTGAGGCTCTTCTAGGCTGCCAACAGCAGCATCTGGGACATTTGGCAAGGTGTGGTTTACTTTTGTCAAGAGGCCAAAAGAACAAATGTGTCTTGAAGGAAACACAGCCAGAGTGCTCCTTAGAGGCAAGAACAGTCACTTACTCTGGGCCTATTTTCAGGCGGAACCAGTCCTTGGAGAGAGATGGCATGTTGGGAGAGGTAGAGGGTCAACGAAAGAGAGGAAGGCCCTCAAGGAGATGGAACAGTTACTACAACAGTGGGCTTGAGCACGAGAGAGCTGTTGAGGGTGGTGCAGGATTGGGCCAGGTTCAGATCTGTTGTTGAGAGCAGTCAACCCCGCAGAACTTAACAACAACTTACTTGCATTTGTACCACACGGTTGGTCCTGGGGAGGAGGACACTTGAAAAGGGGGTTGCTTTCTTCTTTTTAGATATGGAGAGACTTTATTTAAAAGGATTACTGAGTGAAAGAGAAAAGAGACTATTACAATAGGAAGAAGGAAATCCACAGACTGGGAAAGCATATTTGGCAATGACCCATCTGATAAGGGATCTATATTTAAAATTTATGGAATACTCCAGCACCTCAACAAGAAAAAGGTAAACAACCCAGTCACAAAATGGTCACAGGATATGAATAGACACTTCATCAAAGAAGACATGCAGATGGCAAACAAACGCGTAAGAAAAGTTCAAAATCTCTAGCTTGCAGAGAGTGACATCCACTTCCTAAACAACATGCCTCTGGAAACTCTATGAACTGTGATAAGTGACAATAGTGATACAAAGGCTTCAGGCCTTCTACTCATAGGGTCGGTGTGAGTTAGCTGTGCGTGACTCAACAGCAATCAACAACAACAGAGAGATGCAAATAAAATCAAGTATGAAATATCATCTCACCCCAGCAACAATAGCAAAGTTCAACAGAGCAGCAAACAACAAATGCTGGCGAGATTGTGGAGAGATTGGAACTTTTATTGACTGGTGGTGGAAATATAAAATGGTACAACCACTGTGGAAGGAAGTATGACACTTTCTCAAAAAGTTGGAAATAGAAATATCATTTGAACCAGAAATTCCACTGCTGGGAATATACCCTATAGAAACCAGAGCCACAACTCAAACAGATGTATGCACACCCATGTTCATTGCTGAATTATTCACAATAGCAAAGAGATGGAAGCAACCCAAGTGCCTAGCAACAAATGAATGAATAGGAAAACTATGGTACAGTCACACAATGGAATACTACACAGCATTGAAAACAACAAGCTTGTAAAGCATAACACAACATGGGGGGGAAACTGGAGGATATGCTGAGTGAAATATCTCAGTCACAAAAGGACAAATACCGCATAACACCACTGTTGTGAAATAGGACAGATGTGGGGGGGTTAAGTAAAAAATTTAAAAAGAATGAACAGATAATGAACACTGCATTAGATCAGATGAGGAGAAGCACTGTCTGAAAGGAATATTAGATTAGTCATTATGTATATAACAACAATCTTGAACAAGGGATCCATTACAGGAAGGGCTGGGGAGAAGTGAAGGGAAGGGGGGAAATGTGCAACAAAGAAAAAAATTAAAATAAAACATTAAAAATATTAGGAAGAAAGAACTACTGTAAGAGCTTTAGGCCCCCCCAAAAGCTTATCTGTAAGGGTCAAAGGACAGGAAGAAAAAAAAGAATTTGTTTGCTATGGGGTGAATTCTGACTCATATTTATTTGTCTTTAATTGCTGGTGCCCGGTACAATGTCTAGGACACAGGGTTGTTGTTATTTGCCATCAAGTTGATTCTCACTCATGGTGACCCCAGCTCCCTGAATGATGCAATGCTTAAGTAATTGAATACTCGTTTTGAGAACCCTCTGGCACACAGTTTTGCTCTGCACACAGCAGTGTCTCCATAGTGAAGCATCTGATAAATGTTCAGTGAATAAAAGAGTTACTTTGATAGTATACTTAGAAAATCTTAAAGACTCAGTAGAAAAAAAAATTACATGGTTGACCAATTCAGCAAAGTAGCAGGATACAAGATCAACATAAAAAAATAAATTGGATTTCTCTACAGTGACAAAGAGAATACAGAACTGGAGCTAAGAAAAGCAATACCCTTCACAATAGCTAATCACAAGATTAAATACTTCGGCCAGAAGCACAAAGGATCTATTCAAAGAAAATTACAAAACATTACTACAAGAGACAAAAAGAAATCTGAAGAAATGGAAGAATATCCCTTCCTCATGGATAGGAAGACTCAATATTGTGAAAATGACAATACAACCAAAGGCAATTTACATGTTCAATGCAATCTCAATACAAATACCAATTCCATTCTTCAACAATATGGAAAAGGCAATCTCCAATTTCATTTGGAATGGAAAAAAAGCCTGCCCCCCCAAAGCAAAACACTCCTTAAAAAGAGAAACAAGGTAGGAGGCCTCTTACTCCCTGATTTCTTGACCTGTGGTGGTCAAGACAGTGTGGTACTGGTACAATGACAGACACAGAGATCAATGGACTAGAACTGAGAATCCAGAAACCAGCCCATCTACCTTGGTTAACTGATTTTTTACAAGGAGATGAAATCAGTCAAGTGGGGAAATGACAGCCTTCTTAACAAATGGTGCTGGAAAAATTGGAAAACTATCTACAGAAAGCTCACTCCATACACAAAAACTATTTACGAAAAGTTTGGAAGACCTCTAGAAGTCCTAAAACACAACATAAACAGTCTTCCAAGCATCCTGAAATATCTACAAACCAGAGAGGATAAAACAGATGAACGGTACCTTCTAAGAATCAAATCCCTACGCACATCCAAAAACTTCTCCAACAGTGTAAAAAGGGAAGCTACAGACTGGGAAGAAATGTTTGGTAATGACATATCAGATAAGGGCCTTATATCTAGAATTTGTAAAATAATCGAGCACCACAACAAGATAAACAACCCAATTGAGAAATGGGCACAGGATATGAACAGACACTTCACCAAAGAAGACATTCAGATGGCCAACAAACACATGAAGAAATGTTCAAAATCCTTAGCACTGAGAGAGATGTAAATCAAAACAACTGTGAGATATCATCTCACCCCAGTAAGGATAGTAAAATTTAACAGAACAGCAAACAGCAAATGCTGGCAAGGTTGCGGAGAAACTAGAATCCTTATTCACTGTTGGTGGGAATGTAAAATGGTGCAACCATTTTGGAAGGCTGTATGCCGCTTTCTCAAAAAGTTGCAAATAGAAATACCATTTGACCCAGCAATTCCACTACTGGGAATATACCCCAAAGAGACCATAACTGCCACCCAAGCAGATATATGCACGCCCATGTTTATTGTGGCTTTGTTGACAATAGCAAAGAGTTGGAAACAACCCAAGTGCCCATCAACAAACGGATGGATAGAGAAGCTGTGGTATATTCACACAATGGAATACTATGCTGCATTGAAAAACAAAGAACTCATGAAATATTATACAAAATGAGTGACTCTGGAGGACATTATGCTGAGTGAAATATCTCAGTCACAAAAAGACTGCATAATGCCACTGTTATAAATGAGGACTGAGTTGGGAGACTGAGAAAGAGGGGATAAATAATGCATAGTGCGTTGAAACAGATGAGGGAGAGAACTATTTTAAAGGGATATATGATTAGGTATTATTGTTATGACAGGAGTCCAGAATGAAGGCAGCATAGCGGAGTGGACATGGCAGGAGGGATTGTATAACAATAAAAGGATTTTTCTTTTACTTTTCAAAGAGAAGAGTGAACTGGGGGAGAGGGTGAGCCGGGAGAAAAGTGCAACAATGAATGAATGGAAATCCAAAGTCTCTGTAAACTTTCATTGAAATTAATTAAAAAAAAATTAGAAAACAAAGAAATGTCAAACAAGTTCTTCCCTTTTTGTTCTCCAAGTCTAGGTCAATTCTCACTCATGGATCACTAGGGCTCCTGAAAAAATTGTTGTTATTATTGTTATTATACACTGTCTCCTAAGAATAGACTCATAGCTGACCCTCCATAGTGTTTTCAGAGGCAGTAAATCACACAGAAGGAGATTGCCCATCTTTCTCCCACAAAGCAACTGGTGGACTTGAATTTTGCGCTTTTATGTTTACAGCACAACTCCTTACCATTAGGCCTCCAGAGCTCTCTCTGAAAAGATGAGAAGGCTAAATACATATACAAACAGAATTATAAGGTATTTGAGACCAGAACCCAAGGGTAACCTTCTCTTTAGCAACATAGTTCCTGTCAACAAAGCGACAATATGATGCTGTAAAGTCATTTGAAATTTATCCACATCAAATTTTCTTAAAGCTATTTGTAAAAACTATATAAAAATTTATTACCAGTTCCCTATTTTGTGAGCAAGGAGAGTCTTGTGCTATTCTTTTGGCGAACTCTTGAACCTACAGTGGAGAAAAACAAAAGCAATATTTCATTAATGGTGTTGAGTCCCATGTTTCAATTTGCTTATTTCTAGTGTGTACAAGCGTTAAGAGCATTACTTTCGCCTTCAGTTGGTCAGTCTGTTCTCTTAACTTCTGACACATCTGTTTGCCTTTTGATATCTTTTCAAGTATCTTAGAACTTGAGGAAGAGTCTTCCTGAGACGATGACAGATTAAAGAGATCTGACTCAGAGTCTAGTCCTACACAAGAAAGAATACATTTTGGTGAGCATGCATATCAATTTATCACACTTTCATTAAGTACCCACAGCAGAAGTCTGTGGCAATTGCCACCATCTGCTATTTCTTTAAAAGCCTGCAATACATATATCTATACTGAGGGTGTTTGGCAATGGTAGTACCTGTAAGAAGGTCTTGGTTGACGTGTTCTGCGGGCTCCACCTGCACAATTAAAGAACAAGAAACAAAGCCATTATGTAGAATGAACACAAGTGTTCTGGTCATCACAGAGGAGGCAGTGTGTTCTGTTCAAGAGCCAGGGGCCTGAAGACCAAGGTTAAATTTCAGCTGCAATGCTGCACGAAATTTTCATCACCATGAGCCTCCTATTCTTTGGTGGTAGAACAGGGACAAACCTATATCATAAAGTTGTGATGAAGAGTAAATGTTACATATTTTCCACAGTATCTGGTATGGAGTAAGTATTCAGTGCATGCTAGCTGCAAGTACTAGCATATAAGTACATTGTATCGGCGAGCTCTTACATTGTATCGGCGAGCTCTGATGGCCTAGTGACAAGAAGCTGCACGGCAATCCCAGAGGTGCATGGTTTGAATCTACCAGATGCTCTGCTGGAGAAGGAAGGACAATCTCCTCCTGTACCAGTCAAATAATTGACTTTGATGGTACACACAAAAAATAATAAAATAAAAAACAAACAAACAACAGAAAGTACCTTGTATCAAAGGCTTTAAGATTGTCCCCATTACATAAAGCCTCTAAAAACACTGCTACCAGAGGCATGAATAGGTGAGTGGTTACCTTAGACATTGTTGTTGTTATTGTTAGGTGCCGTAGAGTCAAGTATTACTTACAGAAACTCTGTGAACAACAGATCTGAACACTATCCCATCCTCATAATTTCTGACACTCTAAGCCTATTGCTGCAGTTACCCTGCCAACTCACTTGGTTGAGGGTCTTCCTCTCGTTCACCACTCCTCTAAGTATGGTGTCCCTCTCCAAGGAATACTTTCTCCTATCAACAGGCCCAGAGTATGTGACACAAAGTTTCATTATCTTGGTCTCCAAGGAGCACTCTGGCTGCACTATCTCCAAAATATATCTGTCTATTCTCTTGGCCATCCGCAGGATTTTCAGCACTCTTCCCCAATACCACAGTTCAAAGGCATCCATTCTTCTTCTGTCAGTTTTAGTCATTGTGCAGCTCTTAGATTATGGCATTAATTATAGTGCAGTCTGGAGCTCTGACCCAAAGAAACTGGAAAAAATCAGACACCTGACCTCAGATACCCAGTGTCAGAGAGAGAGCCTGACGTTTATTTAGCTCCTAATGACCACAGGGCACTGAGAACTGTGCACACCTTAAGTCATTCTCCCTCCAGCAAAACAAGGAACTTCAGAAATCTAAATGTTAACAGAATACAGATTTCTCCAAGACCTAGAGCAGTGTTCCAGCTGTGACCTGTTGGGCTGCTGGCTTGGAGAAGTGAGATTCTAGTTCACAGAAGGCATGGTTAAAAGAGAAAGGAGTTAAGCAGGAAGGAATGGAACTAGTAATAGGGGAATGGTATGGAAATAGCTCATAGAAGAGCTTCAAAGAATGATCATACACACACAGCTAAAATGTGTGCTTTGTCATCACTATGAATTTGCCTTCCTGTGGAACATTAAAAATTCCAAGAAAATCACATTGGGGATTGTATAGGTATATAAGAGGAAAAGGGAAGTGGTATCCTTTAATCATTGGGGAGATTTGGCACTAAATTATTGCTAATATTAGCCTTTGAGACCATATCCCTTAGTCAACCTCCAAACCTCGAACAAAAGTCAATTCTGTGGCTCAATTATCATTAAGCAATAGACAGGTCAATAAAGGTGATTAAAAAAAAAAAGAAAAAACAAAGCCAGGACTACAACCCAAGTGCCCATCAGCAAACAAACAGATAGAGAAGCTGTGGTATATTCACACAATGGAATACTATGCTGCATTGAAAAGCAAGGAACTCATGCAATATTATTCAAAATGGGTGACCCTGGAGGATATTATGCTGAGTGAAGTATCTCAGTCACAAAAGGACAAATACTGCATAGTGCCACTGTTGTAGAACAGAACTGACATTGGAGTTGGAGGGAGACTGAGAAAGATGGGTTTAATAATGTATACTGCATTGAAACAGATGAGGGAGAAAAGTGTCTAAAAGGGATATGTAATTAGATAGTCCAGAAGGAAGGCTGCATAGTGGAGTGGACTTGGGGGGAGGGATTGTAAAACAATGAAAAAAATTTTCTTTTCATTTTCCAAGAGGGTAGTGTACTGGGGAGGGAGGGTTGGGAGGGAAGAAAAGTCCAACAATGAATGAATGGAAATCCAAAGTCTCTGTAAATTTTCAAATTTTCATTTAAATTAATAATAAATTAAAAACAAAACAAACAAATAATAACACACACAAAAAAACCAGGGAAGACACTTATTCCACAGAGTAAGGTCTAAGGTAGGAAGGGATAGGACAGCAGGGTTAACGGAAATCAGAATTACAAGGAGGAAGTGGGGAAAGTGTGATTACAATGTGGATATTGTAATTAATTTTGTAAAGCAAAATGTGTGTAAATAATTGAATAAATACACTTTGTAATGTTTCGTTCAAACCACAGTTTAAAAAGATTATCAGTATGACAGATTGAGGCCCCCGGAGGCATAGCAGATTAAACGTTGCAATGCTAACTGAAAGCTAAGTAGTCTAAACCCACCAGGTGCCCTGAGGAATAGAGATGAGCAGTCTTCTCCTATAAGAATTTATGCCTTGCACACTCACCAGAGTATTTCCATAAGCCAGAATTGACTAGAAGGCATAGGCTTGGTTTAGCAAGCCTTGATGGTCAGACATTACATGTGGGGCTTCTAACCTAAAGGTCAGTGGTTTAAATCCAACAGGTGCTTTACAAGAGAAAGGTGGACAGTCTCCTCCTGTACAAAGAGAAAATTCCATGGAGGGTTGAATCAACTTGATGGCAGTTAGTTTAGAGGGTTTTTTGGCCTTGTTTTATGTTAGATATAACAGCTTAAAGTACATGATTTAGGATCTCAGTTCATTTTAGCATTCATAACTAAGCGTGTAATATAGGTGAGACATAAGCCCAGGGCTCTGGGGGAAATTAAGCAATGGAAAAATAAGACAAGATTGCAGCCTTCCAGAGTCTTCCCATCTAGTGGGAGAAACAGATCACTTGGCCCCAGAAAAAATTATTGATACAAAGTGTCCTGCTTACAGAAGTAGAAAACAAAGGAGGGTAGAATCTGAAAAGGCCTGTGGCATAAATCAGAATTGAAAAAGACTCAAAATGAGTCAATCATGGTTAAGCAGAGAGGTGACTGTCCATGCAAGGCAGGTAATCGGAGAATCTAGGGCGTAAGGAGAGGTCTGAACTGTGCTGTTAACTGCCAGGATCATAGCCCTGAAGAAAAGAAGGGAGTAACTAGTTATTGTCACATCAGTTTTGCCTCATGGCTTCCGTGTGTCAGAGAACTGTTTTCAAAGGCTGACTTTTCAGACATAGATTTCCAGAAGCTTCCAAGCTATCTCTGTCTTGGACTAAAGGAGCCAAGCCGACAGTTTGTAGCACCAAGGCACTGGTTAGAATGATAGGATGAATTTGATTTGTTGTTTAAAAGTGAAGCTCAAAGGAATTCTGGTGGCCTAGTGGCAGGAAGCTGTACTGCAATCCTAGAGGTGCTCTGTTCAAATCCACCAGATGCTCTGCTGGAGGAGGGGCAATCTCCTCCTGTACCAGTCAGATCCAATTTGATGGTACACACACATGATAATAATAATTTATTATTATTATTAAATAAAAGTGAGGCTCAAATTCCAGGTTGAAGATTTTGTTGTTGAGTACCATCATGTTGGAACTAACCATAGCTGACCCTCCAGTGGGTTTTCAGAGAGAATTAATACCATAGAAGGAGATTTTCCATCTTTCTGCCGTGGAGCAGCTGGTGGATTGGAACCTCATGCCTTTGGGATTGCAGCACAGTTTCTTACCACGAGGTTACCAGAGCTCCCTTGGATTGAAGATTTTGAATGTTGTTTTCTTCCATTTTATTTTAGCCTCGCTCTTGATTTTTCCAATGGGGACATTCATCACACTTCTGAGAGGTTACATCTTCAAGATGACCCATAACTAGAGCCCCTCATAAAACCCTCACTTATATAGACAAGTTGTGGCACTAATGATGTATTCATTGAAATGACTTCTCTTACCTGTATATGTTGAGAAGTTTCAAAATTTCCCATTTTAGGCTCTTGGTCATGTTTTTCAACACAAATTAATCTAGGCATAGCTTCTTCTGAAAGATCTTGCACAAGAGCTGGTGGTATATTTCTGAAGCTAGGAGAAGATTTGACTCGTCGAGCTACTATAAGTGGTTTGTTCATTATGTTATCTTTAGGGATTTTCACTATGGAAGCTACCTTAGAAAAGTCAGAGAGCTGATAATGAACTTGACTGTGGTCATATTTGAACCCGGTCCTGAAACCTGACTTTCTAGGCTGTTGATTCTGGGATGCCTGCCCTTGGAAACTTTTGTGTTCATCTCTTGAATGCTGGGATTTCTTCAGAAAGTGTAAATTGTCTTGAATGCTGCTGCGTCCAGCAACTACGGGCTCATCTAAATCAAAGATGTTTTCTTCTACTGCAGTTGGAGAACAAGAGGGGCTACTGTTGTCGTCATCTTCTTTGGGGTTGAGTATGTCTTCAAGTTCTGAAATTTGTTCTTTTGGCCAAGAATTCTTAACATAGAAAAAAATATTTTTAATGATAGCATCATCAAAACACCGAGCATTCAGGATGTCTGGGAGAGTTTCACAATCAATGCCTTGATTTTTGAAGAATTCCTTTTTGGAAAGATGATTGAGCAGAATATCAGAAATGTTTGACTTGGACGTGTTTTCTTTATTAGGTGGAATATGCAAAACTATAGTACATTGTTTATCATGTTTTTTGCTGGCAGCATTTTCAGTAAGCTTATCTAGAATCATGGCCATATCTACAGTTTTACAAGTCTTCTTACGTATAGCCTTTTTCGGAGGGCCATGTAGGGCTAAGAACATTTGATGAGGGGCATCATAAATGTCAGTTTCAGAGGTGAAATCATTGCATAGCACAATGTGGGGGACATTCTTATCATAAATAAAATCCACCTCCTCCTTAGAAGTTCTATCTTCTGCAAAATAAGCTTCATCCATCTATGTTTGGCCTGATTTCTCTTGTCCACTGATGCCTGCTGTTGATATTCTTAACTGTCACTATCAGTCTTCTAATTTTCACTGATCATCTTCACCACATGTCTTAGTCTGTGAGAAATTAGAAAAGTCTCATTTGTTAATTATCCCATAACAATGTATAAAATTATAGTTACCCTGGCATCTATAACAGACCAAAATGAACGCTTTTTTCCCCTTAAAAGGAATGTTATTAGTGGTATGAAAGTGAGAAATGGAAAAGTAATATTACATTTTTTTCAATTTCTCATTCCTTAAACTTTAAGGGAGATACAAACTAGTGTAGAGTTAATGACTAACATTGTTGGATATTTGTCAACCTCTCTTAGAAAATATTATTTGGAATAGAATTTGGGGTACAAGTAGAGAAGCCTGGTGTCACAAAGGTACATGCTCAGTTGATAATTAACACCCCCCACCACCACCACCGACTGAAGCTAAGAGAAAGAAAGACCTGATGAACTGTTCCCATGAAGATTATAGCCTAGAATGCAACTCATAATAACAAACACTAGGCATACTGGTCTGATGGGGGCTGGTGGAACTCCAAAGACTGCGCCCCTTAGTCGCCTTTAACACTTTAAACCATCCCTGTGGCTCAACTTTAAGTCAAACAATAGATAGGTATGAATGATGAGCAGAAACACCAAGGAGGTAAGCACTGCTTGGAGTCATTCTGTCAACCATATGAGATCAAATGGCAGCACAGCCTTAAGGATTAAGCTCAGAGGCAGGACAGGATGAGAACGGGCAGGGATGGAAAGGCGGCTGGGTGGGGAGAGTGTGGTGTCCTTGCAGGGACTGCAGTCCATGTCTGGATTTAAAATATGTGTGAATTGTTGAATGGAAACCCAATTTGCTCTGTAGACTTTCACCCAAAGCACAGTAAAAAGCTGAAAGATAGAGGTAGGGGGGTACGGGGTTTGGGGTAGTAAAGAAGTACAGTTTAGAAATCCTATGGGCCAGTTCGCATGAGGTAGCGATCAGTCAGAATCCACTCAATGTCACTCACCTAACACCAACAGTCTCTCAAAATACAAGTTTGGGAGGCAAAGATTCTGTTTAAACTGAGAGAGTTTGATTTTTGCTAAGAATCCTAAGAAAAGAAAGGTGACAAAACTAAGCCAAAGCCCAGACTCTCTTTCATGTGCCCTGGGAAAGAGCTTCTGTTCTCATCATCAGCATTAACATTGTTATCATTATTTAGCAAACTCTCAAAAGTATTTCAGAAAAGGTCAATCCACATCCTTAGCCCTACAACGGGACCCCTTACAGGTAAGTAGTTAGGAGAAACTGGAACATCTTCCCAAGGACAGCCAGCTCAATCTTAGAACCCAAAGACGCCTCAAGATTCCAGTCAGAACCCCACAGAGCCTTCCTTCCCATGGATCTCTGTCCGATTACTGAAGTCAAGTGACTATGTGAGGGCCATTATGTGCTCAGCAATTATGTGCTCACAGCCCACCCTGAACGATGTGTCTGAGGAAAGGAGCAGCTCAGGCACCGGCCCGTCTAGTCACCTCTCCCTGGTGCTGAGCTGCCATGGGCACCAAGGTGATCACCATGCTAACAGCTTTTCCCTGTGTGGTTTACTTTATTATGAAGTCTGAATCTGATGCTGAAGTACTCACTTAAGCTCTCTAATTTGCCTCATTCAAGACACCATGGCCATGTCTGGGATGAATGGCAGTCGACTGGACTCAATTAAGAATGTCTTCAGATGGAGGGGAATCAAAATTCCCTTAAGTAGAGGCCAAAATCAGTCAATTGCTATTTCCACACGGTACGTGATGTTTCTCCTATTCAGTCAGGCTCAGTGTATTTTAGTGGTAATACAATGCTGTGCATTGGAAGCCTGCGTTCATCATCAAAGGACACTTGAGGGGTAACATTTCTATGATGCTCTCCCAACCTTTCCCCCAGTATCCTCTGTCCTGTGTTTAGATACCTATTCGCTCTCACTGCCTATGAGTGAGAAGTGACTCATAGTTACCTATCCACAGGGTTTCCTAGGCAATAAATTGCTTGGGAGGAAATTGCCTGTCTTTCTCCCATGGAGCAGCTGGTGGATTTGAACTTCCGGAATGGAACACCCTTTACATTAGCAGGACAAATCCCTGCAGACTCTGCCATCAGAGCCCCCTAGGCCTCTACTAACCACCAGCTAAGCCAAAGAGAGGGTGTGTTTGTTGAGAGGTAGGGGCGAAAGCACACAGTGCTTCCGCCCATCCTTCCCTGCCTCCCTGCACCAAACAGCGCTTAGATTAGCACAGCCAGAAAACATGCTCAGGTGCTGAATCCACTCGCTCAGGATTTGACAATCTAAATTCTTGGTGCTTTATTTGTGTGTCATGTAGAATGTAAAACAGATGACAACCAGAAGCTTAAAGAGTCATTTTCCCATCAATATTTTGTACCACACAAAGCAACAGACTGATCTGTGTCTTCCGCTGAGGCAACAACCATCACAGAGTGAAAACAGCAGCTGTGGCAACAGAAACTCAGCCACATCTCAGTGTGTCTGGACAGCACAGGCTGAGCTGCTTGCAGGGCCTGGCAACACCAGTGAGCATTCCCCTAACTCTAAGTCATCTTTTCCCAATAGTTACAAGTTGACTGCTGCTGAATAATAGAACAGTAACTGAGCTTCAAAATCATGGCATACCAGCTGCTTCTGGCTTCCTTCAAAGGCAAGAAATCAACTTTGAAGATTATACAGGGAACTTCTGATGTCAGCCTTGGTGTTTTTTAGCTGTTTGTTTTTTGTCTTTTAAGAGCATTAAAAAAAAAGAAAGAAAAGCTTGGTTTGACCCTTTTTCCCTCCCACTGTTCCTTGCTCAAGATATTTACCCAGGAAAGAAAAGAGTAATGGGTTTCAGGAATCACTCAGGGGTCAGGTATTCATGGATTTGTCTCCAGTATAAGGCATTTTAAGATGAAAATATTTCCAAATGCAATGTGATACCGGCCCCCTCTGCACTGACTGCATTTGATGACGCCCTGGTAATCTTACCAGCTAACTGTGTCTCAGAAGCTCAGGGCACCCACAAATGCAGTATCTGTGGCTGTAACCAGATGCCGCGCAGTGTGGCTGTCCGGCCTCCTCCTGTTATTGTGGCGTGGTAGGAGGGAGACTGTGATGGAGCAGCGAGTCAATCCAATACTCCCCTGAGAGCCAGCTGGATGCATTATTTATAGTCGGTCTTAGCATGTATTCTTTCCGCCAGTATGCATGAATCTGATGACCAGCTGTTGCAAATTATTTATCTTGAAGCTATTTTAAAAGTTGGGGGGATGGGGTGGGAAATCTTTTGAAACTGTGAGCAAATGAGTATTTGGAGAACCTTCTCATTGGTGTTTTACCAGCAGCCTGGCTGGTTCTTTCCCTGTTCTTTGGAAAATCCATACTGTCTTTTAATCCATTTGTCTTTTTCACTCAGACATGTAAGCATTACAGATTGTCTGATTTTTACTGTAGGTCATGGCTCTTTGCTGTGCTTTTGAAATATTTAGAAGTCTCTAGTCAGTTGATTGTTTGTTTGTTTGTTTTTTTAAAAATCCCTAATTCTTATTTTCCCTTTAAAAAAAATTATTATTTTCTAAAGTTCATATATATTATTTTTCACACCAGACCTTTCTCCTTTCCTTTCCCAATCCTTCCCTCCACCCATCAAATTGCACAATGCTATGTTTAAGCCCTTCTCTTCCTTGGGTCCTCGTACACGCTCTATAATAATGGTCCAAGCGGAAGGTGGTATAGCACTGGTCTGTGCGTTGCTGTACAGAGGTAACTCGTGGTTGCTGTGATGCTGAAGCCTGTGGCAGTGATGTGCCAATTGTGGTAATGGGCACCCATGGTGGACAGTGTTGGCTGGAGCTTCCCGACTAAATCAAGCCTGGAAGCAGGAGCAGCATCCACTTCCGAAATGGCTTGCCTCCAGAAACTCTATGTACGAACAGTGCTCAGGCTGTTCGTTCATAGGGCCGCTATGAGTCGTCTACGACTCGACAGCATTAAACAACAACAACAATACAGTATTTGTCTTTATGAGACTGAGTTCCCTCAGCATAATGCTCTCCAATCTCTTCCATGTTAGGTAGTAATTTACAAAATCATTGCTCCTGTGTGCTGCATAGTATTCCATTGTGTGAATGTACTACAATTTCTCAATTCATTGTGTATGGGTATTTGGGCTGTTTCTATGTTCTTGCTATGGCGAATAATGCTTCTATGAACACTGGTATACAAGGCTCTGTTTGTGTCTCAGTTCTTATTTTCTCAGAGTATATTCCAAGCAGTGGAATAGCTGGGTCATATGGAATTTCTAAGTTCAGCTCTTTGAGGAAGCCAAACTGCCTTTCAGAGTGATTGTACCATTATACAATCTCACCAACAATGTTTAAGAGTTCCTATGTCTCCACATCCTCTGCAGCATTTATTACTTGCTGCCCTGTTAAACTTTGCCACTGCTACTGGAGTGAGATGGTATCTCGTTGTGATTTTTATTTGTATCTCTTTTATTGCCAGTGATTTGAAGCATTTCTTCATGTGTCTGTTGACCATTCGAATGTCCTCCTCTGCAAAAAGTACATGTCTTTTGCCCATTTTGTAACTGAATTATCAGTCTTATTCTGGAGGCCCTGTAGGATTCTGTAAAATTTTGTTATGAGATCCTTGTCTGAGACGGTAGTCTCATGTTTGTTCCCAGAAGGTTTTGTAATTCTTTTTTTTAATAATTTTAATGAGCATTTACAGAGATTTTAGATTTCCATTCATTCATTGCTGCACTTCTCTCCTGGCCCATTCCTCCCACCCCCCACCCCCAGTTCGCTCCTCTCTTCCAAAAGTAAAAGAAACACTCCCTCCCTGGTACACAATCCCCCTGCACCCCTCCCACCGCCTCAAGTACATTCCACTATGCAACCAATTCTTAAGGATGTATTTTAAAACACACTGTCTGGGA